GAACACCTATCTCGTGGGCGTAAAAAGTCTGCTGACCTTGAACTTTACCGCGGCGTACAAAGTCTGCCCGTGCGAACGCACGCTAAAGGAAGAAAATACACGTCAAACCCAAGTATGAAAAAGCTTTAATTGGTTGACCTTTCTAATAGAGGTTATAATTAAAGAAAAAAGTAAAAGCAGAACTAAATGGGGATAAAAACAAAACGCGTATTGGATGCACTTTCCAGGACTCTGGTTGAAAACCTAGAAGTATATGTAGAAAAGTTTATGATTTAGGCGAAACTTAAATTTTGACTTTGTGAATTTTAGTTTGTTGGGAAAACATATAAATTTAGAAAACTTCAGTAGTTTGTACGTGGCTCAACCACTGTATAAAACGTGACTCGTAAAATAGGGTTATGCTTGAGCATATGTGCCAGCTTCTGTGTATGTGTGCTTATTTGATATTTCCGGGCGTAAGTGGTTCGCATCATGTCACTTTGAATATTGCTACTTATAGGAATCTGACCATTAATGTGTTTACTCATATTTTTGTTAAAAAAAAAAATCGGCCGTTTATCGCCTTTTCCCGGTTTGCCAATTATTTGAAAAACCTTATCTTTCACCAAGTGAATGGTGGTAACAATTGCTTGTAAAGTCGTATAAATTTTCGGACTTTCAGTACTCAGTAAATCTTAAGTTTTACTGGTAATTCTTAGGACTTAGTAGAGTTCGTACTTTTACAGTAACATAAATAAAAATAGTTACTTGAAAAATCGATAAATGTGTCATTGATGGCATAGAATCGAATCACATAATAAAAAATGCTAATTACAGGCTGTGAATTTTTAAGTTGTCAAGTCATAGTTGGGACTTGCAGTGGTCGGCACTGGCGTCACACTTTCCCTCCTCGCTTGAAACCGATGCATGGCTAAATTATTCAAACCATGTGGCCGTTTTTAGACTTTACTCCATTTAAAATTTAACGCAAAACGACGTCGGTTCCGTTTTCTTTAAAAGTTTTATAAGATACGTAGATATAAAATACGTTATTTTTATACTATTAATCCATAAACAAGCTTTTCGTATCTTCGCGGGTCATTATTAACTAATTTATGCATAACATATTCCTTGTTTACAGGATCATGTTCAACAAAACTTAGTTTTATTTTTTAGATATAGTTTTAATGTATATTCATTATTTAATATTCATCTATATATTTCATCATCTCATGGTCTTATACAACTCATGTAGGGTCAACGGGAGCGCTAGTATTTACAAACTTTCATGATTTAGCTTGATTTTTACGGTCGGCCATCTGACTCGCCTACTTGGGAGAAATAAATTGAAATTATATATCTTACTATTTCAATAATTAAAAAAAAATAATGGGTGTGTAATTATGGATGATAGATGAAATGGCGACAAGTCATAGGAGTAATATGCGACCAGCAAATTCTCCTTAAAATAAAGAGGGAAAATTTGAAAGACAGTCATGATGTATGCATGCGAATGTTGGGCAGTAAAAGAATAGACGAAAGGAAAACACATATGGCAGAAATGCGGATGTTACAGCCTCCGCGCCCCGCCTCGTCACATCCGCGGTCCTAGGTCCTAGGGACTACCAGTGCCTAGGAGGCGCGTGTCAGTCGGCCCCCCTGTAGGACCCTGAGCGCCCTCCCCACTGGACCGGCGTCGCGGCACAGGCCACCCGGCGGGGCAACCGGCGTGACCTTTGCGCTAAGCCGGTCATGGTTCCTCTTGGCTTCACCGTGGTGGACCAAGCCACGGCTACTAGAGCCCCGCCGCCACGACAAGGCGGGATCCGTTGGTGTGGGAGGGAGGGGTTGGAGCCTAAGTCTGAAAGTAGCCCCCAAGGTAGAGAACTTAGGCAGTAAAAGGTTAGCATGGTCCATAACATATACATATATGCTATGAGGAGTGACGAATCACTTGTAAAAAAGAGAACTTTATTTATGAGTGTGGAGAAGTACTCCGGTTGAGGTAGAGAGTGAGAGAGTGAGAGAGAGAGAGATTGTCCAATCCACCCAGATTGCGTGTAAGTTGATATGATCAAGAAGGGAATGAAGACGATGACGGATGATAGAGTTTTGGATGAGAGAGATTAAAACCCGGTACGCTGATACTACCTTATAGGAGTAGGGAAGGGAAGATGAGATGAATAGGTGTGTAATTATAAACTAAATACTTATATAATACACTCATTATAGAATATTCTCAATATCTAGCGTTAAAGCTTGATTTTTGACCGACTTACCAAAAGAAGGAGGTACTCAATTCGGCAGTATGTTTTTTTATGTGTGTTACGGCATAACCCCGCCGCTGGTAGACCGATTTTGATAATTTTTTTTTATCCGAAAGGTAGTGCTTGCAGGTGGGTACCATTTTTCTTTGATTTTTGGACTCAAAGACTACGACGTAGTTAAATAGTTTAGTTCAAAATCGCGCGACGAAATTTGGGGTCTTTTTTGCTTTCTTTGCTTATGTAGCCTAAACTATAAGACTTACATAAAAATTATGTATGGAACAATTGTAGCCCTTTAAATTTTTGGTACATGTGAAGGCGATATTAACCATATTATTAATGTAAGGACTTATCTTTGTTCATTCGTCCCGATAGAAATGAGGATTATAGGGCTTGCTGCGATTTTTGTCAGCCCACATATGTACACAGAAATGATAGGTAGAATGAACACCAATCCACAACACCATAACGTTTTAACTAGATAAGCATTTTCTTTCCTGAATAGGTTTTTACTTATTTGGATTGATAGATTATTTATATATCTTAAAACCATCTTCGTTGAAACCTGATAAAGCTTTCAGTTCCTACTTAGCTTGATGTTCCCAACAAGAAACTCTCACGCAAACTGCAAGGAACTTGTTAAAGACGTCTACGGTTAAGGGGAAATAGGAGGTATTCATGCCTGAAGATGCTCCTCAGACATTACCCGAGGCTATAATAAACTTTGCGTACTTTGTAGTTTTACAAAATTATAATTAGTTGCTAATAGTTTGTAAGATGCTATTAATAAAATTACATTTTCAATAAATATACCGTGACTTAGTATGCCACTATCGTCCAAACAGTTAAGTTTTATTACACTTTGTTTTGTTCATAACGAAAATCCTGCATCTGGGAGACTTCGTTATTTCAAAATTGATAGTTTACCAGTAGAGGTTGCCGTCTTATAGAGGTAGTTAATAGGCCAACAATGAATTAAACTGTCATGGTGGTTTTGTATCAAATTTATGTAAAAACAGACGCCAAAGGGGGCTTCTGTTCAACTCAGCGTGCTTTTTACTAATTTTATAAATGTTAATTGATGCGAAATATGGACGGATACATGAATGTTTGTTATAAGGTATCAGCAGAAGGGCTCAACAGACTTAATAAAGTGGCAAAAAGGCCTATGCTACTTATTACGTTTTTTTTTTAATTTCGCGTGAACCTAGTCAAGAGCGAAAAAGAAAAAAAATAGTAATAACATATTGGAAGAAAACTGAGAAGCTAAATACGAAAACAACACGTAAGCAAACAATTCGACAACCTTACCGAGAATTGTGTCTGTAGATTTTTATAGACACAGACAGATTGCGTAGGTATATGAGCTGATTTGCGAGAAATACAAGGAATTATAAGGGCAAAACATTTAAACAGTGAATAAATAAAATATTTAAATAAGTAATTTTTTTGATAATACTTATCATTATTTTCTAAAATGTATTTTTTTTACTTTGTCTACCTCAGAATACCATTGAAAATTGCTTCATGATCATAGGGGATAAATCTATCAATGTAAAATACAACATCGTCGAAAATATCGGGAATTTTAATTCGTAAAGCCGTAATTTCAATATGTAGATAAAATTTTAGGCATAAACATAATTGCATTGTTTCCGATTTAAATATAATAACGATAGTGATATTTATAAGATACCTATCGGATATCATTTCATTTTGTTCCTCTTATGCAAATAGCGTTTAATCGGGAATTCGAGTCTAAAAATTATCAATAATAGTTATTAAAATGATGTACCGCAGTTGATAAAATATTACTTGCTATTTTAAAAAATGTTCGTATCGACAAACAAAAATAATTTATACCGGTACGTGACGGAACATCACTAGCTACTGCGCGCTGAGTAATTCGAATACGATATTCCCATCCCTAGGTAACCTGGCGGTCGCCCGCCCGCCCTTGTCGTTCTCCGGAGCTTCAGTAGTAAATTAGTGCTCAAGCGGAGCAGCCGCCTCATGCGGCACTAGCGCGGATTGCTACTCGTTTGCGACCGATACCTATCTTAGGTACATGTATATTTCAACCTTATCTAATGATTTAGTAAATAATAAATTCAATAGAAAATTAAATGAAATGACGCGCTACTCAATTCAATTTTTGTGTGTTTTTCACAATTATTTTTTAATTGATTTCGTTTTAAAAATTAAACACCGAATGATATAAGAAGATTTAAAAGCTAAAAGCTAAAACTACTTGATCGCAGTAATACAAAATAAAGAAACATTTAAAATTTAAATTTTCCGCTGAGAATTAAACTAAAAAATGACTCGAATTACAAGTTTATTTATTATGCATTATTAGCACAATATGCCATACGTTAACTTCTGATTTAAGATGAGAATTATGTTTCATGCTTTACAAAATATACGTCATAAGTAAGATACTGATTTGTAATATATCAACGAACATTTTGTTTACTTTCATTACCTGTACGATTTAAGAATTATTCGATAAAATTTAAGCGCCTTTCCAACGTAGAAAAGTGATAGACATTAAATAGCTAAATATAGTTAAGTACACGTTGGTGGAGTGGAGTGTCAATTGGTTAAAACTTACGTGTTTTTCAGGTGTTATTGTTTGTTGTGAGCTGCGGCCTGCATCAAGCTGGCTGTCTCGACGCACGTCTGCTGTGAAGAAAATCGTAGTGGTTATTTGCGTATTGGCCACACCGGGGAGAAGGCGCCACGTGTGGACCTGTGTTCAACCGGGGGCGGGCGCTCTGCGCCGCCCCACAACGGCAGATGTAAGTAAACCAAAAGCTCGTACAAGTATCAATCATTGTCTTCACTCAAAATTTAGTTCCTACCACCATTACTAAGTACTGCACGATTGACATTCTACTCAACTTTGCCAGAACAAATTCATATCGCACCATCAATGTTAAAATAGTTTATGATTTTTGTAGCGATTATTTTTTGTTATTAAGCCATTTCGCAATATTTCCACTCATTGGCTTGTAAAAAACACTTTGTTTTAGATGTATGTTGCGTATATTTTAGCGGCTGTCACTATTCTGTATCTAGCGAAACTCTTACCTGTTGCGCTAAAATTCATTCGTTGTGGTGTTGCTTTTTTTCAGCGTTATATTTCAATAATTAGATTATCCAGCTGTTTTGCTGAAGAATAATCTAACCAAATGGAGTAGCGGCAAATTTACGTCCTGATGAACATTGATAGATAAATTCTATCACGGTTAATATCTATTTTGGTGAAAAGTTACTGTCTTCGTCTAATCAAGTCTAGTAAGAGGGGATTTTATTTATTTCTTTTATTATTGTAATTTTATTGATTTTTTCCCTATTTTATTTGCGTAATATTTTTTTTTATTTTCGTTGTTTATTCAAGGGAAAGCAAAGTGGTGATTTTAGAATTTACTCGAGTGTGTACAGTCAAACATAAGGGAGGAACTTTGCACCCAATCAAGTTTTCTCACCTCCCGTAAAACTTTCTTTAAGGGGTAAAGCTTTTGGCATCCCATTCAGATATTAACCTAAAAAAAAGTCTTAAAAATCATCTAGCGTGGCAGTTTAAGATAGGCTGAGGTATTTACACGAAGAAGTCTACAATTTAATTATCTGACATTTTGCTCTCTACGCAAGGAAATTAAACAGACACAAAGTTGTAAGAAAAAAAATCCCCGTGACGTTGTTACTTGGTTGCCGTAAAAGCGCGGCTATATGTGGACAGTTGTATGTGTGATTGGAGAATTTGATTAGGTGTAGGTGCCTCCCTTATATTTGACTGCACATGCAAGAGTAAATCTCGAAACTCACGCCTCGTCTCTTATACTATTAGTATGTTCATGAAACTTTATTGTTGCCGGCAGATTTATTGATATTGTTGCGTATTGAAGCGTATTAAATTTTTAAGATGCTATTTGTATTAACAAAATATAACTATACAACATTAAAATATTACGTACGAAAATCAATATTAAAGATTAAGCTTATGACATAGCAAAAGGTATATTTTTCTTGCAATAAAACTTAATGTCATTTTTCACGGTGCGAGATTCTAATGATTGACGAGCGCGGGCGTAGTAGAATTAGTGTCACCAGAATCGCCGCAAATCTGCGACTTCAAGTCATTAAAATGGGTGTTTCCCATTGTACTGATCGGTGGACCGATTCCGATTAAAATTTTCAGAGTCAAGTGCAAAAGTTTTTTATAACTTAATAATCCTTTCATCAAATTTTAATTATATTATTAAAACTGAAAAATTTAAATTAACACAATTCTCACTGAAAAAATAATCTATGTCCTAATTTAAGTAGGTACTTATCACTGACCTATACATATTGAGAGACTGAAAGCCGTAATATTTGTGCCAATTTAATTTTCGCCATTTCGGTATGTCTAATGCCAATTTAGAATACAATTATATTGACTAACTAGTCATACATTAAATATTTTTGTATATGACATTGGTACATGGCGGGATTCGAACCCAAGATTTGTAGATTACAAGTCAAGTGCTCAAACCACTGAGCCACCGACGCTTTAGTATCCGCAGATTCGCTCACCATTAAATATGGAGTATTTTATATACTTTACACGTTCATCTGTGCGGAGCGTGAAGGCGAGTCGTCACTTTAAGTAATTTTGAAAGACCTGGACGGCCGACAGGCATACTCTGTGAGCCCATTTTTACGGTAGGAAGTTATCGACTGGCCACGTATCCGACTAATGGACATGATTGGACACGATGATTCTGTTTCCATGATGCGTCCCTATAGTTCGTCTTTTGCAACACAATTCTGGCATATGCAAGCATATATATACCCATTTAAAAGGCACATACACACTAATTTACGTCAGTAAGTCAGTAAACACTTACACACTCATACTCGTAAATAGACATCCATCCATGCAGGTATAAAACAAAATATTTCTTGATTCGACTGTCATTACAAAATCAAATTATGTCTCACCATTTTTAAGTTTTAAGAAAACAATAAGTACTAATCTCTCTTTGTTGTCACCCGATAACAAATAGTATCATATTCCACAGCTTTTTATATAAAACTAGCTGTTGCTCGCGACGTCACCGTCGTTAAAATTAATACTATAGTCTGTTACAGATAAATTACCTTTTAATGGCGAAAGTATTTTTTAAATCGGCTCAGTAGTTTTACGTGAATCGAGTACATAAAAAAATAAAAAATGCCGATCTTTCCTCTTTATAATGTTAGTGTAAATATAGATTAAGATTTAGAAACAATTTCATAAGAGGAGTCTTATTTCATACTCGTATTATAAAAATTGTCGAAGTGATATGACGAGGCCTCTTCGACAGTTTTTGCATTAAATTATGCTTACCATATCAAAGTGAGCAACGGTTAAACTGCTCATAAAAATTGACCATAGCAAGTAGAAATTGATAAGTTACCGCGTGAGCGAAATTACTTTAAGCCAAGCGAATATTGTATTTAGTAAAACGCGATGTTGCTGGCTATGTTTAGGATTCGTATTAGGCTAAGATACAAAGCGTTTTTCCTTCCCTCATTTGATTTCCTGATGAAACCTACATTACGTGAAAGAGCACATTTTTTAAACATGTTGTAACCGGGTAACCTAATCCTAGCCTGGCAAGGCAATGGTTAATTGATGTCTGAAGTGGGCAATTTTTGCAGCAAAAACCCCTCATCGAGTTTCCTGAATATTTTGTCACCAATTGATAGTACGTAACGTAAATATTACTCGACGGTGGGATTGCCTATCTTTTTCCTGGCAAGAGTGGGGGTTGCCAGCTATTAAATGGCGACAAAATAGAAGCTAATTACCTTTATCGAATTTCCTTATAAAGTTATACTCAAAATGAAGATGTTAATGTTCCTAACACAATGATATAGGTTTGCCTCACCAAAACTTGGCAAGAGATAGGGTTGCCACGGTTAAAAGCTTCTCAAATCTATCTAATAAAGATCGATTAGATTGATAATAGAGTTAGTCTATCCTCATTAAAAATACTCCTCCCGCACTTTGGAGAAAAATGTGAATCGAACTACGCCTCACACTCGAAATCGGCCAAGCATTTAGGGTCTAGGGGCCCATCCTCGGCCTCTGTTTCCTTAGTTTCCTGCTGAAATTAAATTTCATATGTAGGTAATAACATACACAATGTAATGGCATAGGGTTCCTTGTCAGAATCAAACATTTAGGATCTAGAGGCCCATCCTTGGTTTCTGTGTTCTGAGTTTCCTGATACAATTGTACTAAAAATGAAGAAATTAATGTGCCTAACACAATGGCTTAGGGTTGCCTCATCCAAACAAGTCCAAACACAGGGTTGCCGCGGTTCAAAGGTTCGAAATCGACTCAATAGTAAGAATAGTTAGTTTTTTTAACAATATATGCGATATATACTATTGAGTAGATTTAGAACATTTGAAGCGCGGCAACCCTGTGTTTGGACTTGTTTGGATGAGGCAACCCTAAGCCATTGTGTTAGGCACATTAATTTCTTCATTTTGAGTACAATTTCATCAGGAAACTCAGAACACAGAAACCGAGGATGGGCCCTTAGATCCTAAATGTTTGATTCTGACAAGGCAACCCTATGCCATTGCATTAAGTATGTTATTATGTACATATGAAATTTATTTTCAGCAGGAAACTAAGGAAACAGAGGCCGAGGACGGGCCCCAAGACCCTAAATGCTTGGCCGATTTCGAAGTGTGAGGCGTAGTTCGATTCGCAATTTTCGCCAGACTGCGGGAGGAGTATTTTTTAATGAGGATAGTTAGTCTATTGTCAATCTAATCGATCTTTATTAGATAGATTTGAGAAGCTTTAAACCGTAGCAACCCTATCTCTTGCCAAGTTTTGGTGAGGCAACCCTATACCATTGTGTTAGGAACATAAATATCTTCATTTTGAGTATAATTTCATGAGGAAATTTGATAAAGGTAATTAGCCTCTATTTTGTCGCCATTTAATAGCTGGCAACCCTCACGCTTGTCAGGAAAAAGATAGGCAACCCCACCGTCGAGTAATATTTACGTTACGTACTATCAATTGGTGACAAAATTTTCAGGAAACTCGATGAGGGGTTTTTGCTGCAAAAATTGCCCACTACAGACATCAATTAACCATAGCCTTGCCAGGCTAGGATTAGGCAACCCTGTTACAACATGTTTAAAAAATGTGCTCTTTCACGTAATGTAGGTTTCATCAGGAAAGTTGATGACGGAAGGTCATCACTAGTATTCTATCTCTAACTATATAGGTCGCAATATTAAAAAAAAAATTGTTCGTGTATTTATACTAAACGCTTTTACTAAATATTAATAGCAATATATTAAAATACCTGACAATTTATTTTGGAAAAAATGTCGAATTTTGCGTTAGATCTCCCTTTTTAGATTGGATTGAAATTTGGTACACACTTTTACATATTACGAAAAAACTATTTAATGTAATCAATATCTCTGTAAATCCAAAATGATAGCCGCAATGAAATGGTGGATGGCACATATTTTTACAACCCCTTCTATGTATCAACTGGACAGGCTTGGTTAGTAGAGGTAGAGTACTGTACGCGAAAAGTAAATTCAAGATTTAAGCCATTTCAAAATAGCGGAGCAGATATTTTTGTATAATCACCCTAACATCGGTATCAAATGAAAGCGCTTGACTATTAGTACACGGTAGACTATCAATAAATCTATATGAACGTCACTACAAAATGGCCGTTTATAAAACAATAAAATGTTAATAAAACAACGTTGTTTAATGTAATTCAAAATGTTAACTAAAAAAATGGTGAAGATAGGAATTGACTTAAAAAAAAAAAACATTTGTACGCGTAATACTTGTTTTTATTGCATTAGGGTATCTTGTCTCGTAATAAACTAGGTCAAATTTTTAAATTATTTATTCACTTCAAAGACTATTTCATCTGAAGAAACATGAATGGTAAATTTTATATTAGTTAATCCTCCTTGATCCAGATACCCTCCAGATGGTTTATTGACATCGGGAAAAACCAAGCATGATGTAGGATTCGATCCGGATATCTTCGCGCCGGATCCAATCGCATCAGATGCTTATATCGATGTCATTTATGCAGAATACGTGCTCCTGTTGACACCGTGAGTATTGTGAAATAATTAGGACGTTTGTTAGTTAAAATGAGTAGGTATTACGAGCCCCGATGCAAAATATTTCGTCTAGTAGGGAAAGTAGTGCAAAGCGTAAAATGTAAAAAGTAATTATTAGTAAAATAATTAAGAAAATTTAATAAAAAGTAAACCACAATTTGAGGAACGTTTTAAATTTTATTTTAACATAACTACAATTCCTTCATGACTTTACATAACATAAAATAATAATAAAAAAAACATTCTAAAAAACCCAATACAAAACTATTCGTCTACCCTTGTTACTGGTGCAAAATAATTCGTCTAGAGTTTGTCTAAATAAGATAGATTTCGATTTTGAAGAAGAATTCGATACATATGAAGTATCGAATTCAATTTGTATGAAGTCAAATGAAGTACTTAATAGGCAGGTATCGTAATGACGAAACATACACGTAGCGAACAATTATGAACTATCGATATTCGGTTTAAATAAAATTTATCGAACTTAACTAAAATTATTAATTTCTTATTAACTAATTTAGAGGACAATAGGGAATATGCATATTTTTTTTTGTAAACGATTCTTCATGATATAAGGTAACCAGAAAAAAATAATGACTCGAAAAAATACAACCATTGACATAAAAATGATAAAATAAAATTACGATTATTTTCGTGCGACTAAAACGCCACCGGAGTTGGCATGAGACAACTGACGTCAGTTGTCATATTCCATTCATAACATACGCTCAGATGTCACTTCGATGTAAAAAACAACAAAGTATCTCATTGCTTCTCAAGGTCAAAAAGTCAAAAATCGATTCATTTTTAATATTCCTGGTACAAATAGGTGGTAGTTAATGATTCTTTTCATTTGTTTTTTAATTTAAAGTTAGTTTTGATATAGTGTCTACAGTAAAATACTAAAAGAGTGAATTTCTATAAAAACTAACGTAAATGAACTGCGTATTGACAACACAACGACACCATATTAGATAAGCCACTTGCTTCGATCAACAGTGTGCGTTTTAGAACTAACAGAGGAAATCTTAAAAAATACACTTTTAAATGATTAAATTTTGCCACTAAATCACAATATATTAAAAAAAATATTTACAGGTATGTTTTTATAGTAACAAAGAGTTCTTACAAAAAGTTTGGTCCAATTTGGCGTCATATGCATTTTGCCTATTTTATCTAGTATTTATTATAGTGTAGAAAATAAAGCGTTGACAATAATAATAGCGACATCCAATTCAATTATGTACGACTGTAGTAATAATAAATATTAATAGCTCTCATTCTTTGTATTGGTTCTGTAGGTAATTATTAATTTGAGAAAACAGTGTTTTTTTTATTTTGATCCATAAGTTATAACTATGAATCTATCGATTCCAATTTCTACAAGAATAAAAATCGAAAATCGATAAGATTCATGACTGATTTTACACAACCCATCCCTACTAAATCAAACTATACCACTTAGTTGTGTCGCCTTTGCTCTCAATGACAGCTTTAATGTGAAGAGGCATGATTGCAACCAACGCTGTACTCTGCTCAGGCGTAACTGACTCCGATACAGCCAAGAGTTTAGCCTTTAAGTCGCTCTTCGATCGATTTTTACGAAGAACTTTTTTCTTTTTTCCACCATAAGGTTTCGATCGTCGACAAGTCCAGGCTGTTAGATGGCCATTCGATTGTAGGGATGCTTTTCGCCAGTAGCCACGTCTTTGTTGTCCTTGCAGTATGGAAGGAGAAACCATATTGTTGAAAAATAAAGGAATCTTGATGCTTGAGTGCCGGAATAGAGGGCAATAAACTCTCTTCCAAAAGGTTTTGATAGCTCGCAGCATTGATAGAACCATCCACAAACTGCATACCACCAACACGTTGTGCCTACATGCAGCCCCATATCATAAGAGAAGCCGGAAACTTCACTTTTCGTTCGAGAAAATCAGTATGAAATGCCTCATTTTTGTACCGAATCACTTTTTTCTCTAATCGCCTATTGTAACTTTAAATCTGGATTTGTCACTCCAAATGATACAACGCCACTGATCGGAAGTCCAATTTAAATGATCACGGGCAAACTTCAACCCTTTTTTTCTTTTGTACAGCAGTCACCAGTGGTTTTTATTTATATTAGAAGGGGGCAAACGAGCGGCGGGAACACAGAGGTGGTCAACGACCACCTATACGACATACGCAACACCAGAGGAACTACAGATGCGTTGCCGGCCTTTGAGGAAATTGTAGGCTCGCTTCTTGAAGGACCCTAAGTCATATTGTTTTGAAAATACCGCCGAGGACAGACCGTTCCACAACGCGGCTGTGCGGGGCAGGAAGTTCCGCGAAAATCGCATGGTTGTGGAATGCCAGCCATCAACTCGGTGAGGATGGTAACTGGCGGTCTGTCGTGTCGTCCGATGACGAAGCTTTGCGGCAGAAATCATTCCAAACAGCTCCTCGGAACACTCCCCTTGGTAAATACGGTAAAAAATGCAGAGGGAACTGACGTCCCTCCGCAAGACCAGAAGATCTAGCCGATCGGTAAGAGCTCGGTCGTTGACGATTTGAGTCGCTCAAAGTTGTATGCGGTCAAATGGAATTCTCCTTATCGGTGTAAAATCCGTAGCCCATTATTTTAAGGACTGTTTCACATGTATCAACGGAGATTTCTTTGTGCACCTTCCATTGCACCGCGAGTTCTCCAGTTCGAGCACGACGATTATTTTTGATAATTTTCTTCAGGACTCTGTTTTCTGCTGCACTCGTGATGCGTGGTCGACTATTTTTCTTCAAACAAGTCGTGCTATTCTTTTTAAAGTGCTGAATGATAGATTGAACTGTGAATCTGGGAAGTATCGAGTCTTTAGATATTTGGAAACTTGATTTGACAGCATCGACCCCACAAACTATTCGCTTTCGAACACTCTTCACACACGGGTTTGCCACGATCCATTGTTATTTGAAAACTAATGAAAATAACTGAAATTTTCTGAATTTATACTGTTTCACTTAACAAATGAGACAGAATTTCTCTTACAAATTTAAATTGTGGAACATAATTGTACAAAGAAGGAATAATCTTATTTAACTCAACGATAGACGAACTTGCATCAATTAACAATTAGACGAACTATTTTAATTACTTCGAATTAAAAAAAAACTTATATAATAATTTGTTCGAATTTAAAACAGGATATCTATGATATTAAAAAGGTAAAATAGTTTATTTGTTCATAATTTAAAAAAGCCATAAGTAACGCGACTTCCTATTGTAGAAAAGCTTATTATTTAATAAAGATAGACAAAATAATGAAGATAGAAAAAATCTCACAGAGGAAATTTCACACTAGACGAACTATTTTGCATCGGGGCTCGTATATTCTTTATAACAGCCGCATTCTGAGTTATTAATTTGCCTTTTAAATAAGAACTATAGGGTAAGTAATTTAGTATCATTGATTTAACATCTCTCAAATATAGTAATCCAAAATGTAATTTTATTCATATTAGAGTAATAAAACAAACATAATAAAATACCATTCTCATTTGATGATTACAAATTGTATAACATTTCACTTTTGCATATTGGGTGTGAACTACAAAAATAAAATAACTTTAAATTTATTGAAAATTGCAAAACATACGTAGAGATTAAACAATAAATATTGCGCTCCATAAGCCCCATAAATCTTTCGATCGTTCACATGAGATACTCGAATGTATCTTGTACAAATCTTGCAACTCAAATATATTCAGTTTCCAGTGACAAAAGTGTATTGTGCGAAAGATATGTGTAAGAAGGGAGTGAATTCGAATATAGTGATAGAGATGTAAGGAAGAGTAGTACATACTGTGCCGACATTCTACATCCCGATTATCCCAAAAAAGATATTGAAGTTAAAGTTGAAAAACGGTGGAAACTGAATACCTCAGAAATGCTATATGGTGCGACAATTAAGTGTCCCTCTATACAATATATAGAACTAGAACGGACCTATCCAAAAGAAATAACCTTCGATTGCTTAATTAATTTCAAAAGTTTATCTTAAATTGACTCGAACCCAATGTATTAAAGTCACCTTAAAAGGGATAAAAGTAACGAAGAGGGGATGAACACTTCCCTTCCTTTCCTTATGAGAATAGGATGGGATAAGAATGAGGACTAATATTAGGCCACCGGGACGGCACGCAGCGAAAATTAAACAATAAAATATTCATTAAATAATTGCATCGAAATTTTAATTCGTTTCTTTGTTAGCAAACAGTTGTATGGAAACTTTATTGTCTACTTCTAGTTAGCACCGTATTTTAGTTAGTTACGTCAGTTATCGGCTTGACTTCGGTACCGAGTTTAGAGGCGCATTTTAAAATCGTTATCTTCTTTAAAGTACGAATGAGAAAAAATTGGAAACTTTTATATGATCTTTTTATTTACGACGCAAAAAAAAATGTGTCGTAAATAATTTAATGGTTAAAAGTTACCAATTGGTTTTAAAAAAAACTGACACTTCCAACTTACACTTTCTATAACATTTTAATGAATCGGGATTGGTGGAGACAATAATAATTAAGAATGGTGTTTCTATGGTATTAACCAATTTTAAGCGCTTAAAAATACCTTCAAAGTGATGTCGCAAGAGTTTTCCACCAGTCTATCTCTATATGAAAAGATAGGCCTTGCAGGAATAATTGGGTGCTAATTTGCCCTAGTTGGACCCCTATAAGTTTAAAATCAATCGTTATCTAAATTGCACATTTGGTTATCGTTCTTACCCTCATTAGGAACATTTCCTGGCGAGTTCGAGCTTTGATTTTACATAAGTCGACCGACCGCTGGAGCTTAGTCGATTTGACCAAAAGTGTTATGAATGAATGATGAATAAAAGGTCGTAGTGAAAAATGTATGATGAGATTGTATGGATTCTAAGGTTTTTAATCAAAATAGATTTAAACACAACTTTGCTTTATACGTATGTATTATAGGTGTCATGTCCTTTTTTTATATTTAAATTAAAATATTTTAATATCTTATGCGCTCGATAATAGTAGATGAAATCGCCATGAGGTATTCTCAGGACTCTAGAGATAGTTGGTTTGACAAAAATCTAAAAAATAACTACTATAAAATTTACAACTTTTAATTAAACTTTATGCACACATCGGATAGTTTGTTTGTGCTAGCACCAGTTGTAGTTATTCTAGCTGTAGAGGATTTCAATGGTAGGAGTTTTAACCCTGATACAAAAAATATATATTTTTTTAGCATAGTGATTTTAATAGTTATAAATAGGACATCGCACTTTCGTTCGAACATTTTGTTCCTCAGCATCGCTATCTGTTAGTCAAAGAACAGATCAATATAATTAGAACCACATAAGGAATTAGCCGATAAATAACCTAAAATAATATAGATAGTAAATTAAAATTGTGTGGGATCTAAAGAACATTAAGTTAATCGTGGTTAGTTTCCGGGATTAGTAATTTCTCAAAAATCACCCCTGCATTTAAAGATGTGAGAAGAACCTACCTGCTTCTCTGCATCAACGGCTAGGCAATCACTCATTATTTTTGCATAGTATACTGACAGATTAATTATTACTATATCTAGTTTATGATTTAGCGTTTATTATATTATTTTTTGAGATTTGAGGCTTGCTTTTTTCCAAATTATTTATCCCCTTTAATTTTATTTTTTTATTTGTAGGTTCGAAGGGATAGACACGATGAATACGGGGGAAGATGAACCAGCAACTGGTTTAAATGGAAGACTGCGACCACGTAAATCCATCCCTAGCCCCCAATCCAACCAAATATCGCGTAAATCTGAAAATAAGACCTTACCGGATAAGCCTAAAAGAACAACTAATTTGAAAATATCGGCTAACAAAACAGATGATCTCGTGAACAAGTCTGATAATACGATTCCACAACACTTTTGCCCCTACTGTGACAAAACATTTATTTCCAAACAAACTGCTTTGAAGCATGTTCATCTCATCCATATTTCATCCTCAAAACAAGACTTTTTTTTTGATTGTCTCTTCTGCAATCATGTCGCGCATAATTCAAATATTATACATCACATGGTGGACAGTCACCCAAATCAATATTTCGCTTGTCTTGATTGTCATACTAGATTTCCGTCAACGTCAGATGTGGCACAGCATAAACTTAATGTCTGTGAAAAGCAAAAGCTTCCTTATCGTAGTAAACTACGCCAGAAATCATTGGAGAACAAAAAGTCGTCAAAATCAGATACACAGTCTATTCTCCGTGATAACAAAGACTTTACCGAAGGTTTTAATGGGATAGTTATCTCATGCGAACTAAAACCTACTAAAGTACACGATGATGCTGATATAGAGGATAATATAACAACAAATTTAATATTGCCTTCGACCAAAGGAATAAGTCATAAAGCAGCAATGGAAAAAAATGCGATTATCGTTTTAGATGACATACAATGGAATAAACGAATTCCATCTAACTTTTCATTTCATAACAGTGACGCTGATCAAATTTTAACTAGACTAGGGGTGGTGCACAGGTCGCCTAGGACTGGCGAGTCTACCAAAAAAGATTGGCAAAAGCCATTTGAAGATGGCACCGCGCAGAGGTTTGAGAAATGTTTTGACACGAGTTTTTACGTGAAGGTGGCCAGTAACGTGCAAGAAAATTTATTAAAACATCTTGATGGATCTTTTAATGATAACCCAGAACCTGATTCACTTATTAAAACAAGAAAATCTAAGGATTGTGTCCCCATTAATACAGCAGAAGGTTTCCCTATTCTCCTTGCTAGCGAACAATATTCTCGCAATTTGTTTGATGGTTTCGTGCCGCGTGCTATCGCACCAAAGCACAAATGGAAATGGGATAGTCCGGATTATGATAGAGCCATCATTAATGTAGACCAATCAAAGAGTGATTTACACCTAAACAATTGTATTATAACCTATGTATCCAATTTAGATATTTGGACCCAATTAAGTATGAGAAAAAAATTCGATGACAAATTTAGTTGCTTACGTTTAGAAAAAAAGACTGAAAGGCAAAATACAATCAGCAAGGAATTGAAAGAAATACTCGAAAGCAAAGAAATACCAATGTTGTCAACACAAACTTTAAAAAGAATAGGCACACCAACTTTTACCGAAGGATTTCATTTTCCCGTTAACTTGGGACTAACTCCAACTACTCAATCTTTTGTGTTACAACCAGCGGTGCTAAGTGGTGAATCGGTTCGCCCTCGTTGCTATGTATGTTGTGCTTGTGGCGTGCAAGCAAACGATTCTCGAGCGCTGTCGTCACATATTTCAACGCAACATCCTAATGCACAAATCGAACATTATGAAATTGTTGGTGAATCTCTATTGAATGCGGATATCTTTAAACATTTGTATGTGCCACCTAGTCAGATATTTAACCGATCTCGTCCTCCGAGAGGAATTCGAGAGTGCACGAAATGTAAAAAATCTATAACCCTTGAAGATTTGCACCAGCATATGTTAGACTGCGCTGGCGACACACCAACTGTACGACGAAAATGCCGCTATCGGCCATTTGGCGTTCGTAAACGTCGTCCACGTCTTCCTGATAATAGGATACGTAAGAAAATGCGAAAAGATATTCGAGCAGGACAGAGAAATAATAAAAATATGTTAAGGCCTAGACCAAAAACGCGATCGGAAGTAGGTGACGGTAAGTGTAGATAAAATTTTAAAACTTGCGGGACCTTCAAAATTGACGCTATACTCAAATATAACATAGACAATAAACGTTAGCATCATTTTAAATTCTTACGTTTCGTCCTTATTTCATGGTCTTCTTTACGTCTTACATGTTATTTAGAAAAATCATTTCAGATATCCTACAATGTTTAAGCTGCGGATGTGGCATAGTCATGTGACAACTGTTTTATATTCATTCTTAATAAATTAACAAGATTGTGTTACTCGTATTTCTTTAGAATTTGTTATATATTTATAGAGATTTCTTTGTTTTCAGCTGAAACTATCCGTAAAATGTTAGCGGATCTACCGGCAAAGCGTCACCGAGTTACAGTCAATCCTTTGAACTCGTTCCCACGAAAGACATATGATCGAAAACGTAATGAGATAATGTCTAGACAACATTCTTTCGATCAAAAATATATGAATGTTGAAAAAACATCTGATACAATAATTAGCTCATCAAGTTCTAATACAGATTCAAAAGATTCTGGTTTCACTAATGATGATGACGATGAAGACGACAATTTGCCTTTGAGGCCAAAAACAAGGGATCCTATAATTAAAAGTAGTAGCCATAAAAATGAATCTTTAAACAAAAAGGCTATCATAAATCGTTCTAAAAGAAAATCTAACAAGGAATTAGAATTAATTATCAAAAATACTGAAGAGGCTCTTAGTGGATCTATCGAGAGTATTGAACCTGATAAAATCTCATTAGACAGTACACCAAATCGAGTGGACCTTAATAGTGATCCACAAAAAGTCAGAGGACATTCAAATCGTGAAGGTTCGAATAACAGAGAAAGCCCACAATCAGGTAGAAGCGGACCAGGTGGCAATTCACATAACTCAAATGCGCCAACCCAAAACGTTCCTCTTAAACATTCAATTGCTAGTTTGACGGCTGATTCTGAGACTCACGACAAAGCTGTTCAATTTCATCGCCTGTTTCTTGTTCAACAAGAATGTAACAACGGAGACGAACATCACTTGCCATCAGATCGTCGTGTATTATTTGAAAATGAAGCTGTGGTTACTAAGCTTGATAAACCTCCTTTACATTTCAATCACAACCGCGCATTCGAGTACCAAAATTCTCGAAAAAATAAATTAAGTAAGCCGCGTAAAGGATTGAATGACTGTATTGCAATGTTAAAGAACAAATTGACTCCGAAAACTGATAGTGACATACCTGGCCATGTTTCAGTTCAATGCGGCAGCGATGAGCCTATAGACATGGAACCTATTTATATAGGACAAGGATTTGACGTAATAGATGCTAATCAAGGGCACATAAATGAAGCAATATCACAGCCACATATTTCCGCGGAAAATAAATCGATAAACAGTAGTGATGATAATGATCATAGAAATACTCATAAATCTAGCACTGATGTAATTTCTCGTGATAAAATTCACGTGACAAATACTCGCATCGAAGATCAATGTCAAAATAAAACTATGCCACGGGAAAACGACGCTCCAAATGATGTTGTACTTTCTCCTACTCAATTAGCGCCCTTACCTCCGCCAAGGAACACAGTCATTCACAAGTCTCCAAAAATATCAGGGAATCAAATGCAGCAAGAGGACAAAAATATTTTACAGCCACAGATATCTGAATGTAAAGACTACAGTCGTAAAAATACAGATCAAAATATAAAGACTACAGAAATGCCCACGATGTTGAAAGATTGTTCAAAATCATTAGTTGGACCAGGAGTGAAAAACAGCGATATTGTTACCGATAAAGATGCTTTGGTAGACTTAACAAGCAACAGTAACCTAATAAATCTGACGCGCAGCAATTACTCGATTCCTTTAAACGTAAATTCGGGTACTATTTTGACACAACCACATAATCAATATGCATCAACTAATAGACCAGAAGTGGATCAAAACCTTGACGCCTCACGTAAAATAAAATCACAATATTATTCAGCTAAATATAATAACATTCCACTTAAAATCCCTCCAGCGCATGCAAGAACAAGTTTTGAAGCTTTAACAACGGTTCCATTAGACTTATCTGGAAAAACGGCTCAGGCAGATATATCACCGATTTATTCGCACCAAGATCGTCATGCTTTAACTATGAATAGTCATGATAGTTATGAAACTTTAGATCTATCTAATAAAAATACAGATGCTAACAACACAATTGATAATTCAACTGTTGCGGATGATGGACCTTTGGATGTCGTGGTAGATTTAAGCGTTAGACAAACTCCACAATCTTCTACTCAATCAAGTCCTACAAATTTATCTACTAAATCTCCAGAAAATAGTGAGAATCCAACTGGCGTGACATATGAAAGTATACATGAGAATTTCCCTACTGATTTGTCATTGAGAAAACGAACGAGAACACCGTCTACGAGTTTATCTTCACAGGAGTGTGATGCTATTGATTATGTACAAGATCTATCTAATCATAAACCGCCTTATAATGGAAATAGTGATGAAAATTTGATTGTAGTTGATCATATGAATAAAGAAGGACCAAGAGATTTATCAAATAGACAGATGGACGATAATTTAATTGTAACAGATATACTTTCACATGAAACAGATTCTAGGGAGTTGACTAGGATATCAAATACCCATATCGCGACAAAACAATCTCAAAATGTGAATATTGACAATACCCCCGATTCTCCCTTCAGTAATTCAAATGAAGATGACTTAAACGTTGACGAAAATGATTCAAACTACATTTTGCATTCTACAAACATGGATTCGATTAATCGGTCGCATAGCCGGAATCAACTATCTCCTTTTAATAATACAGATGATGTTAATTCTTCAGATATTAATGAAACAATCAGTAGTGTAAATTTGGTGCAATCTAATGCAGAGTCCAATGGTGGGCAAATAAATGAAACTATTGAAAGTCAATCTGCGCAGCCTTTCACGGAGACAATTTGTTTCATAGTGCCAAAGGATCAATTGCCTTACGAAATTGACAATTCTACTTTAAACATTATTATGTCAAATGGTGATCCGGTGCCTCTTTACCAGTCGGTTGATGGTAATATCACAACTCAAGAAGCAAGGAATACGCAAGAAAGTACAACGTCAGTATATAGCTTGGAAAATGTATCTGTGCCCTTGAATACTTCCAGTCTTGCTGTAACAAATTTTTATAATGTTCCCGAAGAAACGATTTCTAGTTCTACATCTGGTTATAATGAAGTTGAAACTGTACGGGACGCCAATGTTAATCTTAATCATGGAATTGAAGTAAATACAAATGAAAAATGTTTAATCTTAAGAAACAATAACTCGTCTGAAACAAACCGGATTGTAGAATATACTTCAACACACCAAAATGTAACACCTGATAAAAATTGTGATCTGAGAAAAGAAATTATTAATCGTGATGCAGAACAGGATACGGAAACCGCTAGAAAAATTGCAATGCTACCTCAAGAACTAGTTGAAATTTTAGGGACTATGCCTGTAGGCCATCGAAATCAATTATTAAACGTGTTACCCCAATATGTTTCTGCTTCCGCTTCTAGTACAGGTTCGGAAACCAGAAAATGTCTAATAAACAAGCAGAAAGACTTGTTCAGGAAACGTAATTATGATGACCAGCTATCACACATGAATAACCTTACTCAGGCTGTCGAGTCAGATGTCTTATACCCTACGTCTACTGTACTTTCTCCGGAATCAGTACCTCAATCTGTTATTCTTAAAGCACCGGTTGTTTCAAATGAGAATTACCAGGCAACAACTAAAATCTGTGACCGCGAATATTCATCAACATTTACATCAGAAAGAAATTCAACACCCGTTCAAAAACGACAAGCGAAATCAGTTAATTTTGAGGAAGTGGCCAGTGTCATCATAGATTTAACAGACGATGAAAATGTTAAAGAAATTATAAATGACGTACGAATAATTGAAAGTGACGTAGTACCATTGAATCACGATTTTGATAAAATTCAGAATTTGGATAAATCCTCCGATTTACTGAGACACAAAGGAAATAACGAACAGACTGCAAATTTAAGAGCAGTGCGAATGAAAACTACCCACGAAAGAAATAAACAAATACTGTTGGAAGATAGCCTGGATTACAGGAATTATCAAAACACAAATGATAATGACCAAATTATAGAAATAGTCGAATATGACGATGTAGACGTAGAAAATAACAGAATTAGAGCTTACAATGAGAATCTTAGAATTGCTGAAGATAGAATTGAAATCCCTTTACTAAATTGCAACGATTCCAATAAATCTTTCAACCGAATAAATGAAAACCTAACACTTAATGGACCTCTAAATATTAACGACAGCTTTTTAGTAAATTCTACAGTTATACTTACGCCGATGTCAAACAAAGAAAATTCAATTGTTCTTCCAGGAATTAATCTTGAAAAAGTAACAAACAACCAATCCAATGATTTATCAAATTCTATGGGCGAAGAAATAATTTTAGTGGATGCTACTGACACACATGGCAATCAAATACAAATAATACCAATGAATGAAGACTGTCGTTCTTCTCCCCCCAAAAAGCCTATTGCAATTGGCGATGAAGATTCTGAAGATGATGTAACTTTAGCGGTTATTGTAAAAAAGAAACAATGCCAACAAACGCAACCTTCTGTATCTTCTGATTACCCACCGCATACAGATGCGAAATATACTGTGATAGAGAATAAAAAAGTAAAACAAGATGAAACGACAAAATCTGTTCTAAAATATACGGCTATTGAACAATTACCGAACAACCAGCTAGGTGCCGTTAAAATGCTCGCTATTACTTTAGACGATATTAATAATTTGAAATTAAAAAGTGGGAACGGCATTCATCAGGACAACAGTGATGTTTTGAGTACATGTGAAAATAGCGCCATTAAATTGGATATGACAAATTGCAACTTACAAAGAATGCCTAAAGGAGAACATGTCCCTCCTAAAGCGATTGATCAAATTAAAACAAAGGATTTCCAAAAAGTGTATAATGAAGATATTGATATTCAATTGGTTGCCAACGATTCTTCTCCCAAATTGGACAATAGGGAACATTGTATAATGCAAAATAAAAATATACAATCTCAAACCGTCATAAATGTTAAAGAAAATCATTCTAGTAATGAAAATCAGGATGATGTTTGTATTGACAAAACCAAATTCGGTGTTAACTCGCCACATATAAGTCAACAGTCATCAATAGAAAATATTAAGAAATTAAAAGGTATACGTGGGAAGCCTAAAAAGAAAAAATGTGTTATCCGTAATTGCATTCTTCATAGTTACATGGGTAATCTTTATCGGAAATCGTTATATTATTCTAAAAAAAGTCTTGCACCTCACCTGCAAACCGTCTGTACTGAAGTACCTATTTCAAAAATTAAAAAAATAGTTCGTTTTGAAAAGCAAAGACAAAAACAATGTTCTGAAATTAGAAGGTCGCAACAAACTTCATTAGGAACTGAAGAAATTAATCCTTTACCTTTACGAAGAAGCAGACGCGGCAAATCTATGTTTGTGGATAATAGTAGTACTGAGTCTTTAATTCCTACGCCAATTTCTAAACCCTCAGAACAAAAGCTGCCTCTTACTAAAAAGCAACTAATATTTTCTAAGTTGTTATTGGACGAAGAAAGAATAACACAACCTAAAACAGACAAAGTGATTGCAAAGGAACCAGTTGTTCTTATTAAAGATGTGAGCTTAACTGGCTATAATTTGTCCTCTGTATCACAAAATAATGAAAATATCAAAGAACTTGAACAATCTACTGTCCAAGCTTTAAGTCAAGCCAAAGGATCGAAAAGAAAGAAATCTCCTCAATCAAAGCGGAAATACAAAAAATCTAAATTTGTTGAAGACACAGAAGATGCTCTGTCTAAATCACTTGTCACTAATATCAAAGATCCCAATAGTAATGAAATTCCTAAAGGCAAAACGAACATTCAGTTAAGTCAAGAAAATGAATCTTTTAAATTACTTAAGGACATATCTGCTCCTCTACTTATAGACAAAAATAAAAACAATATGGGATCTGGTACTAATAGTAATAGTGAGATTGAATCAACTTTTACCGAAAAAAGGAAAACTTGTACGCTTACTAGTGCTGATAAAAATCACAATACGGAATGTAAAAAATCAAAACTAAATATTGATATTGGATCCGAAACTAAAAAACTTGAAGATGTTAAACAGAATGCTGTGGAAACTTGCAGGAAAAATAAACCCCGTAATAATGAAGTTGTTACAAAAAATACACCTTGCTACAACAGTCATACTGCAGCGAGGCGAACTCGATCAAAGTCTGTTGTTGTTAAGTCTAGTACACCTTTGTATGACCCTTATGATATAGATTTAGAGGATATGGCTGAGAAAGATGATAGTTTTGGGAGATTACTAACGTCAAATAAAGCTTTTAGCAAGCTGAGTTTTACTAGAGATCAAGAAGTTAAGAAAAGAAATAAAAAGGAACCGTCTACTAGTGGTAACGTCTGTACTAATACAGATCCAAATACTGAGAAAAATAAAATTTTGACTCCAGTAAAAGAGTTAAGAGTAAAAGTGAAATGTACTTATTCGAAAGAAGATGTAAGTGACTCCGATGATTCTTCTAAAAGTGACATACCATTACAAAAATATGTCGACGAAAAGGAAAAGAAAAAATCGAGACAAAATAGTACTGCAGATACCAATAGTTCGGCACAAGAGAACACTAAGTCAGGTAAGAGACATAAATCAAAAAAGAAAAAAGATACACAGAATGTTACGAACACAACCAAAGAACAACAAAATAGAGATGAACAGTTTATGGAAAGTTTTGGGTTTTTCTCTCATAGAAAACCTAGAAAATCGAATTTAATTGCCGCTAAAAAGATTTCGGAAACATTCAACGCCATTGAAGCTGATGACACGAATGATGATGAAAAAATCCCAATAACCAATAAACAGGAACCTGACACTAAAAAGCCTAACGAAGACAAAAGAACTGCTAATCCCGCACAATCAGTAACAAAAACCCCTGCGAAACGAGGTCGTAAAAAAGCAATAGTTATGAAACCCGCTATTAAATTTTGTGTGATTTGTAATAAAGAATTCAAACGTCCAGATAACTATTTGAGACATCAAATTACATTACTACACATTTCCAAGTTGTCAGAAATTGAAATGAAAGTAAAAACGACACCCGTTTTCGAAGAGCCGAATTACCTTATACCTTATAAGCAACAGCTTGACCGCCTTAAAATGATAAGTGTATCGAAAAAAAAGAAAAATGTCAAACCTTCTTCGAAAGCGTCCTTGCCAACTTTAGGCGAAATACTGGCTAAAGTTAATAAAACATTAAGGAATCAACACTTAGTGCGTCGCAATCTAAGCCGCGATGAAGCACTATTTATTGATTGCTGCGAATTATTAAAAGAATCTCATAAACCAGACGCTTCCAATAATACTGAACAGATTACAACAATAATAACTACTACTACCACTGACCAAATACCAGAAACACAAAACAATATTGGACAGGCTACAACGGCGACTAGTATTGCAGAACAAGTTACAATATCCAATAATAACGAGGAAGCTTTGGCACCCCAAAATAATGAACAAGTAACATTATTAAACGAGGTAAACACCGAATTGACAGACCAGGTCGAAGTGATACAAAGTGTAAGTAAAAATGTCATGAACAGTGACGAATACGAGTTAAGAAGCGACGGGGATGTAGATTCAATTACAGCGAAAAATATACTTGAAAGTGAAGAAGTACGAAACTTGGAAAACGATTTGCTATCAGGCTTAAAGGAAGCAGCAGCACAATCGCTCGCACAAGCATCTGGTAATTTCGTCCTTCCCCGAACTTTAAGTGCGATTGAATCAGATGGAACAGAGAAAATTCAGTCTGTATCAAGCTCTATTCTTGCTAATAAAAATTGCGAAGACAGCAAGAGGCCTGAAGTATTGTCAGAACCACCTAAAAAAGTTTCTAAACCTAGAAAGAAACAAGAAATTAAGGACAGTATGTATCCGAATGTAACTGATAACATAAATATATTTGAAGACAAATTTGACAAAATTAAAAGAAAATGCCGGTCAAAAGCTGCAGCCGCTAAACATGTTCCACCTATAGTAGAACCCATTACAAGGTATAATTTATATTTACACTTTATTTTATATCTTTTTTACAGAACATTTTATCTTAAAAGTTAACATAGATGTATTGATTTAAAAATTAGAATATGTACCAGGAGATAATCTTTTTGACGATTCACTTGCTTTCTTGAGCTATTATTACATATTCAATTATTAAAGTAATAAGAATGTCTCGTTGCAATTTTAAATTATTGTATTAACAAAATTAAATTTTATAAATAAACTTTGAACTTAAATATACATATATCTTATTATCTTACGTACTATTATGTTTTTACTACTTTTAATTCACATCTATTGCACTTTGATGAAATCGAGTATGAACGATGCAATTTTATAACCGTGCACATTTTGCGTTTAAATCTTATTCGATAAAATCTTTTTCGTCCTATCTCTATCCTGACATTATAAGCCCGAAAAATTGGAAATCAGGAAGTTTTCAACAAAATAGTGATTTGCCACCTTTGTCCGACCGAAGGTATTGTTGTTTTAAATTATTTAATAAAATTATCTTACATGGTCCATAAAATTATTTATAGATTTTGCAAGCCAATTTTATTTCGGTTCTTTAATTTGTATTGTTAAGCTTGATTTATTACAATAATTAGCACTATTATTAACCCATAGAATGTAAGTGATACTTCAAAGGCCCTAACTAAGCCGAATTTATCCCGAATTTAGCAGTAAAACTTAAGATGTATATTTTAGGTTTTATCTTACCTAGTTGTGGTAAAATAATAATAAAAGCTAATCCTAAGAGTTATTGATCTTTGGTTATTTTGCGCATTTTCTATCATTCATTCCATTAATCATAAGATTTACTTTCTTAAACACGGTAAAGTTAAACAAACATTATACATACAGCAACATACTACTTGATCACTAAGATATTTCCTAAATAATATTTAAAAAAAGTTATTGTTATTTATTCATCAGTTTTCACATATATGAAGAATGTTAGATTTTATCAATAATCACCACAAGAAATGTTTTTTCTTTGTTACAGTCAAAAGGGAAGAAAAAAATCGGTAAACAAAAGAGGAAGAACAAATTCAAAAAAGGATAACTATAGTGCAATACCGACAAAAGGAGCGTTAAAAGGATTTGACGGATTAAAGGTATCCGTGCCGAATTCCGATTTTAACGTTTCAACTATTAGTTCTCCGTCAGAACAAACATCAAAAGGAAAAAAGATTTCCAGAAACCAGAAAGATAAAGTAGAAGTTGAACCTCAAACAAAACCTAATCAAGATCATAGAGCGAAAACTACACAAAGTCAGAAAATTGACGTGTATGAATTTATGGACAGTGAGGACGCCGAGGTGTTCGATTTTAGGCCTTCAACGCTAATGGAGAGATTTAAAAATATCGGTAACAGGGATATGCCAAGTACCTCTAAATTAGATCCGGCGACTGACGAAATGCAATTTTCGTGTGAGAGTGGCTCCGATGGAGATGACTTTGTGTACGATGATTACGTTTGCAGCGACGATGAGACTGAAAACAGCATAATGTCATGCGAGTTAGGAAACAGCACAACAGGAATTGAAACTAAGACTAAAAGTAATTCACCTCTAAAACGAAAAGATGCAACTGAAAAAAATGCTGTTATGGGTAAAATATTTAAACATAACGCTGTCCGCACAGAAAGAAAAGATATTGAGAGTGGTGACAATGTTAGACCACAAGCTAATTTAGACCAATTATTTGATAGCCTGCTTGTTGATGAGCCTGATACACCGTCAGTAAGCACTAAATTACCAAAGAAAGATTCAAGTGAACGTGAACCTACACCTTCGAAAAGACATGTATCAAAATCTTCTAAAAGACATGAGTCCTCGAAACGACACGATTCTTCTAAAAAGCACGAATCATCTAAGAAACATGACACTTCTAAAAAACACGATTCTTCACATGAATCTTCTAAAAAACATGAATCTTCTAAGAAACGTGATTCTTCCAAGATCGAGGAATATTCTAAAAAACATGGGTATTCTGGTAAACGTGATTCTTCGAAGAAACATGAATCTTCTAAACGAACCGAATCTTCTAAAAGACACGAATCTTCTAAAAGACACGACTCTTCTAAAAGGCACGAATCTTCTAAAAGACACTATTCTTCTAAAAGACACGAATCTTCTAAAAGACATCAATCTTCTAAAAGACACGGTCATTCTAAGAAACATGAATCTTCTACTAAGCATGAATATTCTAAAACACACGATCCACTGGATAAACGCGAAACTTATAAGGAATATGAACCTACGTCTCATAGGAAACCACAATCTGTATCAGATTATGAAGAAGTGTCTCCACGAAAATATGAAGATGAAGCGTCTAGCAAGCACGGTGTAAAGAGGTCGAAACAACATTCTGGAAAAGATTATCCCTCTACGTCTTACGACACTACAAATATTGATGTTTCATATAGTGATCGACATGTTCATACTGATAATTTAATTTGTAAGCCTTCAACTTCTAAGGATTATAATTATGAATTAGTTCAAGAAACTGTTCAATCATCGCCCAGAAAACACAGTTCTCATAGATATACCTCTAAGTCCTCTTCAGATGAATATCATTCTTCAACCCCTAAAAAATCTAGGTTGGGAGGTCATCGTTCTAGTAAGGAAAGTTTTTATCCATCCACAAACATCTATTTAAATGTCAGGTCAGAGAGGCAATCACGAGAAATGACATCATGTAACCGTGATTCAATCGTCGTACACAACAAAGATAGCGGACCTGCAGATCTTTATATTAATCATTTTCGAAAATATGCAAGAGACAGATCGATAACACCCGATATCGAAGAAGGTAATGGCTCTAATTCAGATACCCTGGATGAAGCAACATCTGATGATGCAGGAGTTGCCCGACAAAGGGCACGTAGGAAATGTACAGTCGGTAAACAAAATATATTAGCAGAGACATGGAGCTCAGAATCAGAGCCCGAAAGTGGTCCACATCGTGCGAATAGTACCGAATCCAAGACATCCGGAGGTCGAAAAAAGGGAAAGAAGAAGAGAGAGGGACCATATGGAAGCCGAAGAGGTGTAAGCCGTCAGATGCCCATTTTGAGACAAGATTTGGAAAACAGAGTAGCACTGTTCAAGCGCACCACAACTAGTTCTGGCGGCGGAGGTATCCAAGGAAGTAGTAGCGGCGCAGGCCCAAGTTCTGCGGCTGGCTCATCCGGTCTCTTCCCTTCTTCGTACAGTTCTGGAGGTTCGGCGGGACCGTCTGGGCTGCATCGTTCCCATCACTCGCGTTCCTCAGGTTCCAGCTCATGGTCGTCGGAAACAAACGATGAGCATCATCAACAGCACGGATGGATTGTAGGCGTCAGCCATAAAAAACTAGTAACAATGTTAGCACACGCTAAAGGACGTAAGCGCAACCATGATGATAAGCGTGATTATGTTGAATAAGGATTTTAGATTTCTATGGTTATCTTGTAAATATGTTGTACATAAATGCCCTAGTTCTTTATTAATGTCAATATGACATTTTGACCAGATAACGCTAAAGTTTAATTGATTTGAGTTTTGTAAATACTGTATATCATTTATAGAATATTTAGTTAAATTTTATCTGAGCTTTTAATACTGTAAGGGTCGAATTGTTAAACGGCCTCTTCCAGTATTATGGCCCAATTTTTAGCGGAAACCTTTTTAATTGAAATTAATTCCCTTGTTTTAAATTTTGCATCTTCGTGGGATGGAGCATTTTTATGACATGATATGTAACTTCGATTCAATATTTGAACTATAGATATATTAGTAAATTAGATTTAGCTTCAAGAATTATTATTGGAACACTTTTGAATTGAAGTAATGATTGCATACCCCCCGCCGACAGTAATTTTCCAATATTGATGTATTTTATTAATATATTAGTAGTAAGGTCGGAGCATCCAGTCATAAGCATTTATAACAATTTACAAATAATAAATAATGTAGTTTAAAGTAAAACAAGAAGTAGTAATTCCTCAAACTGCATTGCTGACTTGGTACTAAATGGAAATATTAATATGTCGTAATGTTAGGTGTGTCTGTCCTAAATGCCCCTACCCTATCTATATGTGTAATAAATTATATTAAATAAAATGAGAAATCAGAAATTGTGTTTGATATATAAGTTTTGTATATTTTACCTATCACAATGTAATTAAGTGATAATCATAATCTATGAATCAAATTCTAATTTAATATTGTGACCTTGAGAATATATATCCATTGTAGTACTTTTCTATAGATTATATTGAGTTGTATGTGAATCGTAGGGGCAAATAAAGTGGTCCGGGTAAATTGTAATTTTGAATTATCGATTCGTTAATTATTTTTGTACAAAACATATTTTGCTTTGTCAATCTACGAGAAATGTCAAGAGTTGTTATTTTCTAGTCCATTATCAAAAAACGATATCAGCCTCAGAGTTATATAAATATTATATTTTGTTCTTTTAGCATAAAGTTGAACTGAAATGTTTGAATGATGAATGTGAGGTAATATTTACCCTAAGTCGATTGTTGTGACATATATCAATGCAATATCTGTTCCCTGTCGTTCACATTGATAAAACATAGACTACAATATGTGTTATAGTTTAACAGCCTAACAAATAAACGCGGTACAAAATTAAACTTAGGTATAAACTGAATATAAGCAAAATTTATATTATTAGTACTTATACTTAGTTTATTCCCAAGTTTAATCTTATATTGCGTTTATTTGTAAGGCTGTAATTATTTAAGGATGATGAGTTTGACAATTCGGTAGGGTTTTTTTTTTCGATTCTGATTTTGATAGAAGTTGGAATCGATAGGTTCACAGTTAGCTTTACCAAATTTAAAAAAAAAACTTTTTTTTCCTTTCTGCTTCTAATATTCATAATTTCTAAAGTAGAAAATATGGATAAGTAAAAAAGAAATTTAATTTCGTTCTGTAAGTTTTATGTTTAAATTAGATTTCGATAGTCCACAGTTTTTAGCTAATTTAACTATAAGTAACATCACTATGATACCCGTATTGCTACATCAGTTACTTTGTACAAATTTAAATCGACACTCAATATCACTTGTTTAACTAATCATCCTTAATTAGACAAACTATAATACAAGTATCAAAGTATGCGAAACCCACAGTTGAAAGACAAAGTGTGAGTGTATATTCGCGAGTTTCCACTGTCAAACCGTTTGTAAAAACATGTTGCCATAGCTCTCATTTTCTTTTAAAAATTAACAGATAGAACTTTATTGTATAAATTTGGGGTGTATGTTACATGGAAAAGAAAACATTTGGCAAAGACGATGTATTTGCGTTAATAACGTAATTGTCGGGTAGATGCTCGTGGATTTGCTGTAAGCTAATATTTTAATTCAGTGCCGACAAAGTCGCGGGCGACAGATAGTATGTTATAACAGGTGGTTTGGCAATAGAAACTCGCGGTATACAGGTTTGAAAGTGATCAATCCAAATAAAATATCACGTACTGAGGGGTATAAAGGCAAATACACTTCAGTCCAATGTTTTTTTTATAAACCTGGTATAGCAAATTGTTGCTTGTTTAATGCTACATTGGTATGCCTAGTGTAAAAAAATTAGGCTTAAGTGTACTTGTACTCCTCAGTATACTTCACACAAAATAACTATTGCATTTTATATTGTACTTCAAATAAGAGTTCAGTTCACAATATACAGTCTGTTCTATAATATTGTCTGTGACTATAAGCAGATAAAGTTTGTGAATGGTCGATGATAGATAAAGTAGTAAAAATATCCAGATATGGTAAATAAAGTACGCAAGGAAATTGTTTTTGAAGGAATAAGAATGGCTGTGTTATCGCGCAATAAAAGTGAGTACTCTTCGTAGCAGGATCATGTGCAATCTGTAAACATTGCAATTATTTATGAAAGTGTACTGAGAGTGTTAGATAATGGATATATTAACAATAGCAAAATCATTCGAAGTAGTGTTTGCGATGATGTCCCTTCTTGAGTAACAGGTTCATCGTAAAGTGCTTGTGTATTTGTAGAAAAGAGCTAAAGACCGAAGAGTAACCGGATCTTTTTAACGCTATGTATGTTATATGTATTAAATATGACTATTTTCCTTTTAATAATGTTAAAGTAATTATCACAGATAATTAAGGTGATCGCCATAGTAAAAGCGACTTTTGTGGTGTTCTAGAAAGGAATAATAAAACTAGGCATTCCTTTTAATGTAAAGTTTATAATTCTTATACTATAATTATCTTGTATTAGTAATTGTAGGTGATTTGTTTCTCAATTTAGCTCTAACGAAGATCACCACACCAACAACAACGACCACGCAGCACAAAGCAATTACAATGGGTAGCAGAATGCTAACTAAGTTTAGAGGCATAAGCATGCGATCTTTCAGCTGATTCACGAATTCTTCTGGCAATAGAACACTCTGAAATGTAAAATATCAATGTTTTACGACAAATAAATATATTAAAGTACATAAAATCTTTTAATTCTATACCCTTTCACATAAATACAGTTCTTAAATATTCTCTGAAACTGCCAAGCATGAATTATAATCTTATAGTTTCTTATAGAATATACGAAAATGAGAGTCTTGGTCACTGTTGTAATTAATAGAAGGCGTTAAATCGTCAGTTTGATAATGTCTATTAAATTTTATAAAATGCACTTCTGAAGCAATCTTTACCTACCAAGTCAGAATTCTTGCTATTAACGACGATGTATCGGTTTTTAATTATTTACCCAGAAATAATTACAAAAAGATTAGAATTTATGGTAGTCAACTACCAACAACTTCAAAGTAGTTCCGTAGAAATCATAGTTACTAAAAGAGTACATCGAGGAACTAATGTTACTTTCTAAAGTGGTATGTTTGAAAAATTGCTCTTAATAAACTGTAAGGCAACGAATGAATTTAATCATAGACTCACCTCTTGTAGCCACACGATAGGTGTCAATGTGTTGTTAAAATTTGCTGTTGCGGTCACTGAAGTAATTGGACGTAGAAAAATATTAAATTGAGCTCTTTTTGCCCCTCTTAAAACTGTTCCTGTCTTCTGAAAAAAAAAAATTACACATCACACATGCACTATAATCGCTAGTTTTCATTTCCACTACCAAAACACTCGTACTATTAATACACTTCTTACCCTTCATACCTGAAAACATAGAAATCACATTATGTTTCCATACCTGTCTTTTTTTAGTTTCCTGGGGGTTATTTGTCAGATATAACAAAAATCGTTTTTCTGTTTTATATAAAGTAAAATAATCAATCAATAATCAATAAAAAAATCAAATACTTACAACTACTACGTCATATAGTATACTACCTTTCGCCCGCGACTGCGTCCGTGTGGAATTAAAAAAAAACAAAAGTGATTAGCCTATGTGTTCTTCCAGACTATCGTCTACATCTACCAAGTTTAATCGAAATCCGTTCGAACACCGCTACAAACTCTAACAAACATATAACTAAACTTTCGCATTTATAATATTAGTATGATTAAGTATGTAAGTATACTTACAGGTTCTAAATCAAGTAATATCCTGTGATCTTCTATTGATGGGTTCAATCCTTTAACACCATTAGCGTAAATAGGGTCGGCGTAAAGGAAATGCGGATACGACAATACCATTGGTCCACCTGTAAAACAGTAAATTATTTATTCATGTTCAAAAATAATTCGCATATAAGGTAAAAGTAAAAACATAGTACTCCGCCTGTTGAACCGCCGCATTTGGTGACAAAAGTTGCGGTCGCTATCATTAAAAATGCAATTAATTTTAAAGCCATTTTTCACTGTAACATTAAAAACTTTAAACATATCAAAACAGTGTTTATTTCAACATGAATTTGTTGATATCATTGAAGGTGCATGTAACCTGTGAAATATTAATTGGTTTACCCAATACCTAAGTGCATATAATTGTCTACATGAAGTGAGGACATGTACTACAAAGTGCTTCGATGTTCGGAATATGCATGCCCAGTGGTATTTAATGGACATACAAAATACACATGTGTTTACATGCATTTAGGTATAATTAATGTAACCATCGATTGTCGATTGTTCCGCAGTCAATTCAACTGTTTAGTTTCATAATTAAAATAGAGTAGTGGGCGCACCTCCATATAAGCTTATAGGAATCAAAGCGTGACTAAACAGTTTTGCGATAGTTTAGTTCAAATAATTTTGACAGTATTTCGCAAATCACATCAATTTAATTGATATATCCCATCCTATGTAGGACGTAATCAATTGAATTGATTGCTCCAAATAAAAATAAGCATCGTCTTATATCTAAATATAAATGAAACTAAAAAACATGTTTTGAAGAGGATTAATTTATAAATAGAAAATTTATGTTATTGAACATTTCGGTCGACTCAAAGCGTAGGTAGAAAATGTCGGGGCACGTGGAGGGCACCTTTATGTAAATTGGTGAGTTTTGAAGTTCGTGGATCATGTATTGAAAAGCTATATAAACACACAGGTAATGAACTTGGAACTAGAAACATGTTAAAAATATCATTATACGGTCCACTTGCCAAAATGTAAATTTAATTTATTTTATTTTTTTTTTAATTAATAAAGGAAACCTGAAAAAACACCGTGTGAAAGAAAGTAGACAACAGATAGTAGAGAACCTATAGACAAGTGAGTCATGCTATTACAACAACAACAATAACGATGTCTATTATCTATAGGGGAAGTAAAAATTAATAATAAGGCTGGACATACGCGGCCTGCTTCAAGCATTCGAGTTGCACAAAAATTTGCATGTGTAATCAAATTAACATGAGACTTATGCAGCGGGTGGTAAATCCCATCAAGAAATCTCAAACAAATTTTGTCAATGTCGATACTTATTCTTTCTTGAAAATTTAAGTTCTAGGCCACTTGTTGATCGCTTAACTCCGTTCCTTTGAGGCAATATATACCTATTACTTCAAGCAGTCCGTGTATACCGGTCCTGAAATGCACCGGCGCGGCGTTTGCATCCATCGGCACGTAGCATTTGGCATTGAAGTAACCCCTAAGGGTTTTGTTTCTAAATTTCCATTGCCACGTAGCCTTCGACATTGCTTTCACCTTCCTTCCCACATTGTTTACTTGTTTATACAGACTAAAATAAACCGTCTGTACAGGAATAGTATCATTTGCTACGAATAACATTTAAAAAATAAATATTTATTTTTTAAGGACGGAGATAAAGTTCGAGTGTTTCTGTGAACCCACTGTTACTTGGTATGCCTTTTGTGCTCAGTCAGAGTCTACGAAAACAACATTTTTATATTGTAACTAGAAAAATGTTCACGAACAAACAATTCTCCGAAACCTGTAACAAAGAGGGACGACGGAGTGCGAATTTTATGTCTCCATAGAACTTAAAGAGAAATATATATTCAAATTATAAGTGGTTACTTCTGTACTAATAGAAGTAGATATTAGTATTGCTATGACGATAGTTGGAACTTTCCGATAATGTCATTTAATTCCTATCTTGTCGCTCAGCTGCTCTAGTGAGGAATAAAACTAGATTGAATGGAATGGTAATGCACAATTGTAAGAATAAAATAAAAGCGAATACCCGGAGCATCGGATGATCTGTCGACGGCGATCACTAGTCTGACTAGCTTTACGAAGTTAAATACGAATCCAGATTAATTAACTTACTTCATTTAGAAATGATCGTGTAAAAATTGTTAACAAGAATATTATAGATGTTTATAATTGTATAGTAATACAACTACAAGTAAAATAATACATTGTATTAAAATACAAAACCTAGATTGATCAGATGATGACTGAAAGACTTTTTAAAAAGTCCTAGATTTATTTTGTACAAGGGATAACTTAAAAGTTATACTTAACGTTTACCTAACGTTTTAGGAATGATACTTTAACTAGATTTCGTCCGCAAATCCGTCCGCGTGGAATTAAAAAAAAACTATCTATATATAGCTGTAACCTAACTATCCACTACGTCTATGCCAAATTTCATCGAGATCCGTTCTGCTATTTAAGCTATAAACTCTAACAAATATCCATCCATCTAATAAACTTACGCATTTATAATATCAGTAATATAAATATAATTCCTACAAACATTTAAATATTTAAATATTTTCAAACAATGTCCCTTAAAATTACGCAGATTCTGTGTCTGAGAGAAATGTCTACTCGGAGCAAGGAGAATGACGCGGAATGCAAAGCCCCGTCCCACGCGCCTCCCACCCTTCGCCCTTCATATACGCGCATCTGTCGTATGTATACATAGCTTTTATCACTCGTTTCAGATGCTTCTACAGCACAGTACAAACGTATATGACTGTTACATTAGTTTTATTTTCCCAATTAATGTTATTGTACACCGTACAAGTACTCAGAAGTATTCTGCTACAACGGGCACAAGTCTATTGAACCATTATTAAGTTGGTATAAACGTAAATAAGAAAACAAAGAAATAAAGCTAAATATCATGACATTTTCTTTTCCAGTTAAACATTATCGAGATCCTAAGAGCTCCGTCTGTCGTCCTTTTAATGACCGATAGTTCGTTCACCGATTGGGCTGTCAAGGTAAAATCATGTAAAACAAAATCGGTGAAAAGTGTACCTCCATACATGTTCATACTGATTAACTGCCGACTAAACTATCTGCTGAAAAAGTTTGCGGTGAGCTTTAAATCGATCCACCGACGAATAGTCACAACTAATATGGGATTGCCATACAAGTAACTTTATTCGTCAGGCTTCGTAATAGGAATAGCGTTAGTTTTAAACAATAGGTATTCCGTCGTTGGTTTTATCTCCTTTATAAAGATTTTCAATATTTCTATAATTGTTAGTTTCTGAGAACGAGATTTAATCTTCCAGCCTTCGTTTAAAATTAATTGATATAAAAGATAAAGATTTAATAACTACGGATATTGGTTACCGATGGATCAATTAATTGGCTTTGTCTACGTTAGCAGTGCGCTAATTAAAGCTCACTAAGACATTGCGGAGGATTAAGGTGGTTCAAAGATTTGTTTAAATTGTATGAAGTATAAGGGAAGATTCAATTTCTTCGTCTTAAGTAACTGAATCCTTTTGTTAGGGTATCTGTAACTTATAAGGAATGTATTCGATTTTTTTTTTGTTTTGGAAAATTCAACAAAATTTATTTTAAAATCTCTTACACATACAAAAAGCTTTTTTATCTTCATATTTAGTTAGGCTTAGGCTTAGGGTTCTTAGTTGTATTCATTTTTTTTTCATCAAATATGTCTAATCCGTTCTGTATAAAATCACGACGGTTTTCAATTCCAAAACAAAAGCAAGTATACGATATAATTTAAATTTATGTGACCGCTTTGAATTTAATCTAAAAAGTACAGTATTTGCACTATGAGAAGGGAATCAATATGTTTGTCAGACCTAAGAGACTTACACGTCGATAAGACACGGCGAAGCACGTAAGCCCACTTTAAACTTAGTTATGCCTTGAGCTCGAGTTCGCGGAAAATTTAATAATACCGTTGCACCGCTCTGAAATACCTAAGCTATTAATTTTCCGTTCGCAACATCGAAATACAGTCCTGTATCTATTATTTTCGTCTAAATAAGTAATACATAGGTACTTTAAGTCGTAGTGTAGACAATGTATAGATTTCCATTTTATGCAATCCTGGTACCATGGGCGAAGCTAGCTGAATTTTAAAGGGGGAGATAGCCGATGGTCAATAGTAAGTATAGAATGTAGGTATCTTAATATTTCTTCCTTCTGCCCCATTTGGTGACGTCTCTACCTGGTATATTTGTTTATTATTCATGATTGTAAAAAGCAGTCTAACAATGTTCATGTTATAGTTACCTTAACACGTTTACTGCAGCATGTAAAATCGTAATTATGTGTTGCGACGGCGGCCCAAAATGCGCCCTCAATGTTATTTCTGCCAGTGCGTGACAGGTCTTTTTAGACCCACAAGCATTAGGATAGATTCAATTGCTACTCGTATAACTTTCAGGAAACATAATGTATACGTTTTATGTCATGTATACACTTGAGATAATAGTTTCGCACTAGCCAGAGCGACATAGTTTTTTTCGCCCGCGATAGTTTAAGTACCGCGTCAGGTCTATGTAGTATGCCTGTTACGTAGTGAGCGTGTTAATGAAATACGTTTATATCACTTCTGGAAATAATTTCCGCTCTATTTTTATTGCTAGCAGTGTCAGTGTCATCACAGGGATGTCTTTATCGTTACAATAATTCCTACTATGATATAATATATACAAATAATACTTGTATTGTTCTACTAATATAAAACTTATTTCGCGTTGTAAATTGCTAATTTTAAAAATTATCTTCCACATATCGTACGTGTCATAGGTGTGGAAAAATTACATTAAAAATGAAGAATATTAACCATTTGAACTAATAAACGTATTAACATATATTTTAGTGGAGTGAGGGGGATGTTATTATCTATTAGTTCGTGACAAAAGCTCTTATAGGAGTATGTAAATATTTTTAATAAATGTCGGCATGGATTAAGTAGCATAACTTAGATCATCGGTCAGAATAAAGGGCAAGGCGAGCGAGTTAACCAAAAATTTATTAAACACTAGCTTTCGCCCGCGACTCCATCCGCGTT